GCTCTTTTCTGAAAGGAATAGAGGAGGAGTAGATCTGGGGGAGAGGGAAGGTGGCGGGGGAACTGGGATGAGTAGAGGGAGGGGAAACTGTAGTCAGAATATAAAATGTAAGAGAGGAATAAATAAGCAAACGCTTCCTTGGAGACTGAATTATGACTTAATTTCAAATACATGTTGCCTACAGAAAAATGATCTATGGGGGACAGGAATGTATTTTGGACAGTTGCTAATAAAGAACAGGGCCACCTGACCAACTACTTAAGAGGAGTCATTGGCAACTAGACTTCTTAGTCTAGTTTTTAATTAATTAATATTTCAGTGCTGGGGGCGGTGGGGTCCACAAGCAAGGTCTGTGAATCCAAGAAGTACTTGACTATCTCATGTCCTGTCCTCAAGACCCGGGTTGATCCTGGGGAGCTATCTGGAGTCCTCCTGGAGTCTCCTGAAGAGTGACCCCTGGAGGGAAATGGCAGCATCGTAGTTTTGGGTGTTCAGAAGGGAATTACCAAGGACTTGGCCAGTCCTGTGCATAGGAGGGGAAGGAGTGACCTTGAAAGAGCTCACGAAAAGCACCCCAAGAGAAAGACACCCACAGACTGCTGACAGCATCCACCAATGGTGCCCATTAGGCTAATGCTTTTTGTGCCCTACAGCTACTCAGGTTTGGGCAGAAGCTGGATCTCAATGTGATCTGAAAAGCAGCTAGTGAGCAGAAGAAGGAAGACCAAGGAGAATAAACAAAGCTCCAGACAGAGTCAGAAGAGAAGCAAAGACTGTTGCTCTGATTAGATGCAGCCACCTCCCAGGCACAAACTGGGATGGCAGGGACCTTCCATGAAGACGCAACATTGACTGGCGCCCAGAACTGGACGTATCAATTACCACAAGGAGTCAGTGGTCAGAGCAACTTGCATCATTGACCATTATCAGGAAGGTAATGAGGAAACGGAAACAGAACAGGGTGGGAGTTTGTTTTCATGTCATTCCTGTGGTGACATTATCATTCGTGGTTTGTCAAAGCTCGCCTGTGGATTCAGAAAGCAAAACTGGCCACAAGCTATAGAAGCCAGGCACACACCTTTAATCCCAGCAGCCAGAATCTGGAAGGTAGTGGTACACACCTTTAATCCTAGAACTCAGGGTTAAGAGGCGGACTGATCTCTGCGAGTCCAAAGCCACCCAGATCTACACAAGAGTGAATCAGTCTAAAAAAGAATTATAGCTCACACCTTGAATCCCAGCATTAGGGAAGTGTGTAAGACAGAAGCGAGGTCTCAGAGAGGCATTCATTCTCCAGCCACACTGAGGAGAGGTTACAGTCTGAAGCTTGGTAAGAACTCATGGAGACAGGGCCAACTCATTCACTCTGAGGTAGCAGTAAGAAGCTAGTGGCTGGCTGCTTTGCTTTCTGATCTTCAGCTTGACGTTTGAACCCCAATTATCAGTCTCTGGATCTTTTATTATTTTGTGTTACACACCTCCTACTCCATCTGAGCACTTTCAATGGATATTTGATTTGGGTTTTAGTTTGTTTGTTTGTTTGTTGTTTTGTTTTTGAGACAGTCTTATGCAGTGCCGGGATTGCAGGTGAATACTGCCATGTCCACTTTTACACAGCCCTGGAGATCCACCCAGAGCGTCATGCATGCTAGACACGCATCCTCCCAGCTAAGACCTTCCATACTTACTGATCAGACTAGGAGGGAAATGAGATGGGAGGGCAAAGAGGTGGAAAAGGAGGTGAGCAGTTCTCGGGCCTTTCTCCTCTGGGTCTGGAAGCCAGGGAAGGGAAAGTTGGCCTCCACAATGAAGAACAATGGAAACAAGATGGACATTTACTACCGAAGATCCAACCCGGTTTCTTTCCTTTTCCCAACCATATTCTAATCTGCCTCATCACTTAAATGGGTCTTAAAATGCTTCTGAAATATAAATGCCCAATTTCTTTTCTGACAGCAAGTATAGCCGGACTTAGTGGAACACCCTGCAATCCCCAGCCCTTGAGAGGGAGTCAGGACATCTGAGATCATTCTCAGCTACATGGCAAGTTTAAGGCCAGCCTGGTCTGCATGAGATCCTGCTTCAACAAAACAAAAACAAAAGTAAATAAACAAGCAAAATAAATAATACTTTACTCAGGGACATTTTTTGATCTTTTAGTGATATATATAACCGTATGTATGTACATACATGTATATATAATATATGTATATACACACATATGCATATATACATATGATTCCTAACCACTGGAGATTTTTGCCACTTGGGGAACATTAAGCCATATCTAGAGACACTATCGGTCTCACAACTGGAGGTACACCAGTGGAGGATAAAGGTCTGGGAGAGTCCTAAACACTCCAGAATGGACGGGTCATCCTCCATAACAAAACTTTAAAAGTAGCACCATGGTTAAGGACACAGAGATAGGTCTGACACACACAGGCCAGCCTGACAAACCTGAGTTTGAGTTCCATAACCCACCTAAAAATCCGGCTACAGTGGTGCGTGTCTGTAATCCCAGAATTCCTACAGCAGGTGGGAGAAGGAGACAGGAGAGTCCACAGAGTTACCACAGTACCACAGCCAGCCTGGCGTGTACACACCACAGCAGCAGACACCGAAAGAGATGACAAGATGGACAATAAGAATGACTCCAAGAAATAGACCAAGGCACACACACATGCATGCATGCATGCATACATACATACATACATACATACATACATACATACATACATACACAGATTTAAAAGCTACAAGAACCACAAAGCTAACAGGATCTCCTCATGGAGACTGTGGTTAGGTGTTCTGAAGCAGAGGTGCAACTGTCCTTACCTCAACTGCACATGGTTTTATATGACACCAAAACTCTGCATCTTAAAAAGGTTTTGTTTTAATCTGAATCTAACATCTAATTTATAAAAATATGTTCATTTCAGGCTGATTTTCAGTGAAGGTACACATTTACATTCTCTGTATCTCATTAAACAAATACCTTAGAAATGTTCCGTTGTTTATCTGAATCTCACCTTCAGTTTTCTTTATCTGCCCCCATTTTTATCTCCTAGAGCTCTGATAAAGCACACACCGCAGAAACGCCTCCCCCACACGTGTTTAGCACATGCAAGCAACCTCTCAGAGACATTCCACTGCAGGTGCCCTCCCCTCCCTGCTGTTTACCGCCCAGTGACATAAATAACAGATTGCCAAGTGGTAACACTGGATCCAGCCGGGAGCAAAACCCACCAATGGTGGTTTCCTTCTCAGTCAATCTATTAGCAGGATGTGTGCCTTTCCCACAGCTACAACCAGAGCTGGTAGCTATCAAAGCCATCTTTGCATTTAAAAATAACCCTCTCCCTTCAGAATTCTGGCTGCCTCTTATTAAGTTGGAAAAGGGATTTTGTGTGTGTGCATGTGTGCACATATATGGATTTAGCTTTTTGGCCTCCCAATTTGTGATCGGAGTAAAACCATTCTGGTTTCTGGCATGCGCGATTCTCCCATTTCATTGAATTAAGAAACGAACAATATGACTGATATAGATGCTATAGACAGAGCCACAAATCTGAGCTTAGACTTCCCTTCCAGAACCTCAGATCCCTTTTAGTTTAAAATCTAAATGTACATAAAAGAATATATAATTTCTATTTTTTTTCCTGGCTGAATTTAAGACATAAAATCGTGGTTATCCAAGAGGCCTGTGGTGCATGTTTTTATAAACCTATATTTATTTCTTGGAATCTAAATGTCATCACGCTGAATGGGCTTCTTATTTGAAGAGTCAAGTTCCCTTCTAGAAAGAGGCCATATGGTCTGATTCTGCTGAGCAGTCAAGTGATTTGCTAAGACAAAGCCAGCCTTTAATGTCACCTAGACATTATCTAGTCCATTTTCTCTGTTTTTGAGGCTGGCTAGCAGGCAGCCCTCGGTCCCTTTTTTCTCTCTCCACTTGAGGGGACTTCTTTGCTCAGTCCCTCCTCTGGTCCTTCCCACATTGATCTTAATTATTAATTGAGTCTCTTACTTTTTAATCATATTTATTGTGCGTGCATGCGTGCGTGCGTGGGTGCGCGTGCGCGTGCATGTAGGGGATATCACAGCGCATGTAGAGGTCAGAGGACAACTTGGAGGAGCCCCGTCCTTCCGCCATGTGGGTCCCAGAGAGCGAATGAACACCGATCATCAGGCTTGGCAGCAAAGTCCTTACTCACTGAGCCATCCCGCCTTATTTTATTTGTGGGGTCTCTAACTTTTAATCACATTCAACATTCCTTCGCACTGGCTACGCATTCTGTCCCGCGCTTCCCAGCCACACTCCAAGCATGCGGTGCGGTGCATGCTCCCTTGCTGATGAGCAGGGTCCTTCAGGCAGAGCCACGAGGCTGGGCTGAATAGCAAGAAGCAGACTGAGATCACAAAGCGCCGCACTCACCCGGGGTTGATCGGCTGCCTCTATTTCTGCTTTTGGCACAAGCATTGCTGCGTATGTACTAGAGCTTGCACAGCAAGGCATCGCCGTTCTATACTCCCGTTTTTTCTTAACATTTAGAGACTTCGAGTCTCGTGTAGAAGGAGCACGGCTTAATTAAATCATTTGTAGCCAATCTCATATGTTGTGTGTGCAATCTCTCTCACCCTCCCAGCTCCTGTGTTCTGTTCAGTTACTGGTGACTGACCAGCCCACTCTTGCCTTTTTATTTATAGACTTTGGCTTTCCATTTAATATTTCTGAGTGCACTTATTTTTTTTAACTGCTGCTGCTCTGATTTTTTGGCATAGACACTGGTGCCTTCTGGACTGTGGTAAGCTTTGACAAGACTGAAGAGGAGGCCCGACTGAATTTGTCTAGTACAGCTAGTGTTCCACTCAAAATAACTTTTCCTTTAAAAAAATCTATTTTTACTGGTTCAAGCCTCGTCTAATCTTTCAATCATAAGGGTGAGTCTTGCATTTTATTTTGAAGTATACGGGGGTAGCATTTACAACTTAATAAATGAAGAGAAGCATTTAATTTTGTATATTTAACATGGGCTAATGTCACAGAAATTAATCTGTCATTTGACGGTAGTGGAATAACCGGCTTTATAAGACAAAAATATCAAACACTTGGCCTTTTCCAGTTTAAAAAAAATCTTCTGCTTTGCCAGTTCCTGAACTTCGTATGTGACACAAAGCCGTGACTCCAGTCATCAATGAAGCCTTATGTAAGAATCGGGAAGCGTAGCATAAAGGGTCTACATTAGAAGTCACTCTCATGCGGATGTCTACCCAGTGAACCTTCATGAATGCTAAATTAGCACCATCTGAGCTGTTTGCATTCAGGGGAGCTGTATTAACAAAGGAAATTGGAATCATTAAGGATCAGGAAGAAAAATTTTTAATTGGTCCACATTTGCTCATGGCTGGCCAGGCCTCTTCATCAGCTCCTGGTGGGCAGTGGACGTTCTCTATTCTTTGAGGCTTTGTGGAAAACAGCTAATAAGACAAAATGAGAAGTGGTATAGAGCAATTTAATTCAGGAGGAAAATAACTCATGATCTGTCACTTCCTATTATCATAGGAAGGCTGCTACTGTTGATCAAAAAGATTTTTCTTTTTATTTTTGAGTAGACAAAAAAAAAGTGTTCCTCATTGTACACCTTAAAATTGTATATTAAAAAAATGCAATAAAAAATCCGGCTCCGACTTCCGCTACTATCTGCCCCGTTTGCCACCTCCCTCCCTCCACGGCCCTGTTTTTATTAGTTTCTCGGGTATGTTTTCAGTGTTTCGTTATGCAATTATAACCAAATGTAAACTTACATCCATGCTATCCCCGGTGCCGTCTATAAAATGTGGAGCGCACACCTCGGGATTTTTCAGTGCAGCTGGAGGAACTCTCTAACCCGGCTTCTCTTCCTGGGTGCCTCCTCGCGCTACACATAAAAAAATAAATAAAAAGGGCATTATTTATCCGCCGAGTCCTCCATTGATGCACGCTTTGGTTATTTCTGGCTTTTTGTGTGACAAACAATGTCAGAACAAATGAGTTGGTGTGTGACACTCCCCGTGTGCAGTGTCATCTGCAGGATAAACTCCCAGGAGTGAAGTTTCTGAGTGTGAGGGGAAATTCACATGTAGACTGACGGTGGCAACTTGCCCTCCACAAGTATGTCATTCCAGTCTGTCTGGTGGGTTAACAATGCTTTCTGCACAAGTTTAATTAGCATTTATTTCATTGTGAATAATTTAAACTTTTAAAAGCACCTTTAGAGGTTTAGCTGTGCTTCCCTTCCTTCCTAATTGAATTTTTATTAGCTACCCATACTTAAAAAAAAATCACAAGTAGTTTTTCTCTTGTCAATGTCTAGAAAACCCATGTACAATCTTTTGCCCCCAGTGAGTCTTATTTCTCCCAATATTACTTATGTATTGACCTCCTCGTAGGAATGTGTCTGTGTGTGTGCGCGCTAGACATTGTGGAGAGTCCGGGAAATACACATCCCAGTTGATCTCAATTATGACATTTAATCTTTGCCTGGACTTAGAATCACTGTGGAAATATACCTCTGGGTGTGTCTATAAAGATGTTTCCAGATATATTTAACTAAGGAACAAACTCTCGCCCTCAATGTGGGTGGCCCATCTTGGAATAGATAAGAAAGGAGAAGGCCAGCAAGCAGCAGTGCCCATCTCTCTCTGCCTCCTACTGACAGTGAGTGTCACGTGACCAGCTGTCTCAGGCCCCAGCTGCCCTGATGTCCTGTGCCCTCCATCTGTAAGCCAAAATAAACCCTTCCTTAAAACCCCGCTTTCCCAGTTATTTTGACACAGCAATATGAAAAGTAACTAGCACAGCTATTTTTTCTTCTAATAACCCATTTTCCTGGTGGGAGAATAGAGACAAAGCATATTTAGCTGCCGCAAAGTCCCACAAGCAGTAACAGAACCAGAGTTCCAATCCATAGAGCAGTCCGAATGCCTCGGTTCTCGCTATGCTTAACTCTAGGGCATCACATCACACACATGTGTAGCAATGAGTCTCAATTTTCAACAAGCAAATCTTCAGTTAATCAGACTGCTATGGGACTAAGCCAATAGGATTTTGGGTCCCCAAATCCTACACCTGTCTCCCCATGCTTCCCGTCCCCACATCCCCTGGGCATCCTTCCTCACCCCTCATTTAAATGTACCGTCTCAGTCATTCTTACATCCAGACACAAGCCCGACAATGACAGCGTTCTCCTGCAATGGTCTCCTGCTTCTCTCTGCACCTACTTCTTGAAGCGAACCGTGTCATTCTCAAGGGTCCCCAGCCCCACCATAGCCCACGTGACCCGAAATGAATCCTTCTGAGGACATACCCTGTGATGAAATGATTCTGTGCTTCAAAAAGACCACGTAAAGGGACCCTTAGCTCTTTGGTGCTCCGCCTTCAGTCAAATTGCCCCAAGACCTAGCAAGTCATGTGACCTGGCAAATCCCTGAAGCCCCGAGTGATCACTCAATTGACCACCTGGCTTTCCCAGTGAAAGCTAATTGTAAAAGTGGTAACACTAAGTCAGGGAAATACAGTCGCCCAGTCGCCATACTGGAGAAGGAAGTTATCTTCCCAGGGGTCTCCAAATATCACCTACATAGGCATCCATTCTTTATTCCTGTATGGTTACAGAAGACCATGCACTGTACACTTGGGTTTCATTTGTTCTGATTTTCTCTTGTTTTTCTAGTCTCTCCATTTTTAAAGCCAAATGCATATGTTTTCTAAGCTAATTGGAGGTTTACAGTTTAACTATCATCCACCCTCACTGCTTTTTATGAAATCCCACCCCACCCCCAAGATTTTTGCCTGTCTACAAAGGCTAAATTGTGACTAATTAGATTTTTTTACATAATTTATAACGTGAGAAACACTGAAAATATCACTAATAACTACGCATGACAATTTTTATGCTCTGTTAAATCAGTTTCAATCCACCTGAAAAAGCTAATCTGGGGGCTGGAGAGATGGTTCAGCAGCTAAGAGAACTTGGCTGCTCTTCCAGAGGGCCTGGGTTGAGTTCCCGGCACCCATATTTGGCCGCTCACAACTGCCTGTAACTTCAGTTCCAGAGGGTCCAAGGCTTCTTCCACTATCAACAGGCACCTTCATGCACATTGTACACATGCGTATACTCAGGCACACATGCACACACATGAAAATCTAAAGTAAATAACTAATCTAAAAATAGTTTTAAAACTACTTATTATTTTATGTCATGGTATTGGGAACTGAATCTAAGCTTCTCGGATGCTCTCCACCACTAAACTATGTCCCCAACCTCCAAAACTAAATATCAAAATCAGTTCTGGGAGTTTGCTCAGTGGTAAAGCACTCCCTTAGCATGTGTGAGACCCTCGGTTCAATCCTCAGCATGGCAAAAAATAAAAACTAAAAATAAAAACCATATGGTCTCGCTATATCCAGAAAAACGTTGACAAATCCTATATACATTCCTGGTTGGAAAGAAAAAGCTTTCCATAAACTAGGAATAGAATGGAAACTGATGATGGTCATTTTATAAAAACAGTTGACATCATACTTAAGGGTTACATTAGACATCTAGAGCCTCCATAGCAAAATGCTATCGACAAGGTGACTTCAATGGCAGAGATGAATCTCTCCATTCTGGAGGCTAAACTGGTTTCCCTCTGAGACCTTCCCCCTTTGTCTGTAAGTAATTACCATCTCCCTCTGCCGCCGCCTGGTTTTTCTCTATACTCAAACATATCTGAGACCTGACTTCTCATCTGCTAACGTCTGCCATACTGGATTAGGGCCTAACCTTATAGCCCTGCTCTTCCTTAACTGCCTCTGTAAAGGCTTCCTCTCCAAACCATCACACTGACGATTAGGATTGTAACAGAGGAACTTGGGTCTCAGGGGACACATTTCATCCATAGCAGTGCCTAAAGACAATACTCACACACCCCCAAGACAAAAAATGAGAGAATGTTTGGTGTTGACACTTTATTCAGCATCACAGCCAAGATCTAGCCATCTCTGGAAGGTAAGGAATAAAAGACAACCAGATGGAAAGAGGAGACATAAAATTATGTTTATTCCTGAACAATATGATGGACTGTGTGGAAAACCCAACGGAAGAGAGAAAGCAGCTGCTAAAACACTAAACAAGTTAACAAATGTTAAGAGATGGAGCTGCACAGCTCAAGAGAGTGTCTCAAGACTGCCAATGAACAACTAAAAGAGAGATTTTTAAGTGTTTTTTACAATAGCATAGAAGACATGAAACACTTCAGTACGCATCTCATCGGTTTTGAGATTTATACAATGAAAATAAGAAGATGCTTCTAAGAGGACTTACTGGAGACCCATATAAATAGATGCACATGCCTTTGTCACTCTTTGTCAAATCTCTACAAACTGATGCGTCCTAGCCAAGTCCTTGCTAAAATCTCAGCAAACTTCTATGAAGAAATCGATAAACAGTCCTAACAAATGTGCTATATCCAACTGGAAAGGAAGAACCAAGCTGACTACAACTCCTTGAAAGAATGCAGAGCTGACTTTGTTAATTAAAGATATTCAAATAGATTAATGAACCAAGATAAATATATCTCTACCCATGTACAAACACTTGAGCTCTGGGGAAGATACAAAGGCAATGAGAGAGAGAGAGAGAGAGAGAGAGAGAGAGAGAGAGAGAGAGAGAGAGAGAGAGAGAGAGAGGAGCCTTTTCTACAAATGGCACTGTTTCCAACAAGTAGCCCATTAAAAAAGAAGCTTTAACCCTACCTCATATCATATACATTAAAAATGAACTTCAGGGGCTGGAGAGGTGGGGAGGAAATGAAGAGCATTTGCTGCTCTTACAGGAGAGCTGGGTTTGGTTCCCTGTACCCGCACACAATCACACAACTATCCTGTACCCACACACAATCACACGAATATGCAGCCGCTTCAGCTCCAGGGCATCTGGCCCCCTTTTAGGCCCCCACATGTGTGCACACGGTGCACATCCATGCATGAAGGCAAACACATGTACACAACAAATGAAAATAACTTTTTAGCCAAACCCAAATTTACATTTAAGATCAACATATATGTAAATGTTAATTAATTAATGTTTAAAAATTGTGGCTTCTTTAAAAGTGAAATTCTTTTTTTCTTAGATTAAACTAAGATTGCTTAGCTACAAAGATGTGTGCAGACACAATCCTTCTAGAAAGCAACACAGTGGAGCTCAGTGAAATTAAGAATATCTGCTCTTCAGATGTGTTTTTTTTTAATGGAAGGGTTCACAGTCTATAAAGAAATTTGTAAATCAAAAAGTCAATAAAGAATCTGGATCAAAGTAACTCACAAACTCAATAAAGTCAGACATGGGGTACACTTCTGTAACCCCAGTACTCAGAAGCAAGATCACCTCCTTGGGTTTGAGGACAGCCTGGGGTACACAGTGAATTCAAAAACAGCCTGGGATACACAGTGAGTTCAAGGGCAGCCTGGGGTACACAGTGAGTATTCAGCCCTAAAAATGAGTAAGATCCTGTCAGTCCCAGGAAAGTGGGCAGAACTGGAGGTCATCTTGTTAAGTGAAATAAGCCAGACCCAGAAAGATGCCATGCATTTTTCTCTCAAATTAACATCCATTATACTGTGCAAAAGGCACTATAATCCAAGAAAACAATACAGTACAATTGCCCTGATAGAAAATATCAGGAGATGCAAACCAGTCGTTAGCAATAGAAAACAGATGAATGGCTGCCTAAAGGAATGAGAGAGGGAACTAACCAAGAGGCACCCAGAAGCCTTTGGTGGACACATTCACTGTACCACTAGTGCACACGCATCACCAATCCAGCAGCACACGCTCCATGCTCGTGTTTCACTGCAGACCAACTACACCTCAGCAGAGCAACAGCTGGAACCCCA